GTGTCAATACGCATCCGGCCGAGGACCCAGGTGGCCTCGCTGCGCTCAGACGCGCCTGAGGGCTTCCCCAGAATCGAATCGTCATGCCAAGACATTTTCGCTGCTAGGTTATATTTCTACATGTAGGACTGTGGTGTACTTGTATTGTTTGACTACAGCGATTGTTGTTTCTGGGTCGTCACCTTGTGCCGCTCTAGTACAGCGCAGATGATCACCGTTTCACGCCAAAGCGTGCGCTGATCACGGCGTCCAAAGACCGTTGCCTCTTAGATGGCTTGTCCAGGCCCTACTTCAATACGGCTTGGTTCTGGAGCATAGTTTGTGCCGGAAGCAATCCAGCTTTGTGATGCTGGCCACATCGATTTCGAGGGAGGTGTCCGATGGGGTAATTCAAGAAGCAGAAGCTGTCAAAGGCCGCGGTAGTCAGAGTTGAACTTCTGTTCAGGTGCGATGGCTCATAGCAAGAGGGATAGTAGAGCGAAAGCCACAGAGGTGGTCTCGGCTGTGTTTGATTGTTTAAGCATGACGAGTAAACTGATAATACTGGTGACACGTTGACAAATGCATTCAGTCTCCCTATTTCCAGGTCTCTTTGTATTTGTCGCTCTCGCTCTCTCTCTCTCTCTGCATGGGTTCCTGTCACTCTCCCTCCCTTCCTCTCGTTATGCTATCTTGACGATCTGCATGCTTGTCAGATCACGACAACATTCTGGGAACGCATTGGCTGTAGACTGTAGTGCTGCCAAACCCTGCTGACGGCCAAGTGCTGTGGCTCGTGTTCCTCTTGCAGTACGCAGTCGCATTATTAGCAGTTGTAGTAGTCGTCGTCGGTAGAAGTAGTAGTAGTAGTAGTAGTAGTAGTAGTAGTAGCAGCAGCAGGAGTAGTAGTAGTAGTAGTAGTAGTAGTAGAAGTAGCAGCAGTAGTAGTAGTAGTCGTCGTAGTACTAGTACTAGTAGTGAGCGTCATCTTCCTCTTCATGGCCCCCAGGAGTTCGAAAGCGACGAGGATGAGTTAACGTGAAGGGAGATCTCCGCAACTCCCGGGTTCCCTCCAACGGCCGAGAAAGCTGAGAGAAAAGCTTCATCTTAGGTTTATAGGGTTTAGGGTTTAGGGGTTTAGGGTTTAGGGTTTGGAATGCCAAGTAGCCTTCAGAATTTAGACCTGTAGACCACAACCTGGTGCAGCTTTCTCTTTCGATGCCCTGTGCAACAAGCTCGCGGGACAAAGAGCCGCTGGAAAGGTCACTACGTGTCACCCGACATGCTTTTGAAGGTTTGTGGGTTCAGAATGTTGGGGAGAAGAGGGCGGCTCCCCAAGACGGGGAACCAGCTTCATTGCAGCTTTCCAACAGGACTTATGCGACTGTCTCAAAATGATGGTCACAGAGAGTGGCGATAGCCTGTTCCGTGCCACGGCCGCTGCACCTGAGAGCTAAGCTCCATGCCGTGGCCCTGGTTTCATCTCACATCTTCGACAGATGCGGCACATGAATGGTCAGAAAACCGCGTGGCTGCCAACAAATTATTCGAATGGCTGATAAGGATGCGGTGCATGATAGCAGTCTGAAGCGAGCGGCGTGCTCGCATTTTGTTCTGACCATTTCGACGGCCATGGTGTAATGATGCTATGTGTGGGTGCCTGCCTTGCATGGGGCTTGGGGTATCGTCAGACTCCTGGTACACTTCTGGTCCAACAGCATCGTTCACGAGGTCTCGCAGGAGCTGACCTGCTTCTACCTGAAGTATCACAGATCAATGTTTAGGGTCCCCATAAGCATCATCCATCTTACATCTAGAATGAAGAAGGGGCCACCTCAAAACCGCACAACTTCTACACGACATTTGTGTTTGGCTGCTTATGCTCCGACCTGACGCATGGTGGGAGACTGGCTGACTGGCTCAGAAGACTGTCACACGGCATACTGCTGGGTTCGAACAGCTCCCGCCTCGCGTGCACCCAGCCCACCCCGACCGGAGAACTCACCCCACCCATCCAAGCCTTCCCAATCTGTCGGTAGGATCCTTCTTGATACTGCGATCCTTTTGCCACCCGCTACGTGCAGCAGAAACATGATGATAACCCCATATCTAGACGTGTGCTACAATATACAGAAATATCGAAAAATATCTAAAATCATGTACCCGTTTAGAGTTTAGTATATTATAGAATAGACATACAGTTTAGGGTTTAATACACTATAGAGACATACACAGTATATACATGTATATCTGTGGTAGCTTCCTTTGTGAGACCCGTCTCCAAGCCCGGCCTTCGGACGATGCAAAGCCATGCCATCGGGGAGGCTTCCCTCGGCGAAGGCGAGGATGATCCCAAACTGTTCAGGGGTTTAGGACTTTGGGGGCTTTGGAGTTTTAGAGATTTGGGTGTTGGGGTTCAGGGTTTAGGGTTTAGGGTTTAGGATGATCCGAAACTGTTCAAGGGTTTAGGACTTTGGGGGCTTTGGAGTTTTAGAGATTTGGGGGTTGGGGTTCAGGGTTT